GTATCGAGCTATCAACAAATACCTCTGGCATCGGCAGTGCAGATAATCGTTACTCCGATGAGCAAGTTACCAACGGAGATGATGTATTAGACAAACGTGGTAGTGTCAACTCGAATGAAACTGCAGGAAGTGGTGGTGGCAGTAGCGGTAGTCATAGTGATCGGAAACGCGCACTTCCTAAACATCAACGTCCATTGACACGATATTTACCAATTTTCTCACCGGATTTAAATTTACGCCATCATATCGAATCAGCTGGACACCAGATTGCGCTCTGCCCTCATGTATTTGTAGATGCGCACAGCTGTAGGGGGTAAGACTTAAATATAATACAAAGTAAATATAATAATAAAATTTCTGTATTTTTATAGATATTTACATAAGTTGGGTGCTACTTTTCATGGTTGGGCGCGACGTTGGTTTGTACTCGACCGTCAACGTAATGCCTTTATTTATTATTCTGATAAGTCAGAACGGAAGCCGAGAGGAGGCGCATACTTTTCGGTAAGGAAGCAAAGAATTATTTTTTATCTTGTCAGTAGTTGTTATTGTTTGCTGTTGTACAATAATTGTTGTAGAAATGTTCTTGAGATAATCTTGTTTTGGAACTGTGAGGACTGTTTTTTTATTATTACTATTTAATTGGTTTTGTTTATAAAAGATAGAACAAAAACCTATTTTGCATAAATCTTTCTTCTCTTCCCTTTTACTGTCTTTAAGAACTGATTTTCGCAAACTCCCATCGTTTGCTATCAAGTGGGCATACATTTCGCGTTTTTAACCAACGCGATATACAGTGATAATGATAAACATGATTACATTCACCTGTTGCTGTTACACAGTCTGCCTTGTAATAGTTTTGTGAAGCTTGACATTCAATACATACTTCAGAAATTGGATTTCGGCAAATCGCACAAGTATCAGTTGGTACGTCCCACGCCCATGCTGCACAAGGTTTCCACATTTCTACCGTAAACCTATGCCCAACCGTATTTTCGTTTTCTTCTGAATCTAAGTCATTTTTCTTGTCCTTTTCTTCTTTTTGCTGGTTTACTTTATCTTTTTGTTTGTTTGCTTCATTTTTTTCTTTTTCTTTGTTACTTTCTTTTTCTGCGTTCTTTTCTTTTCCTGATCTTGAACCAGTCAAAAGTGCCCACCTAAACATGACTTTACGTTGACGGTGCAAATAATTTTATACACCAAAAATTTAAATTCGTATAAACATACTTTATGATCAATATAATTTATGATTCTAGTTTTCGATGTTTTTTTTATTTTATTTTCAAATATTAATAAGTTTACTTTGTTTAATAGCACTACACTATAAGTTATTTCTTAAACTATCACGGGTTTATTACATAGTCAGATAACGAATGGTCTGGTAGTATTACGCTCTTTCTGGTCATGACACAGTCAAATAACGAATGGTCCAGTAGTATTACGCTCTTTCTGGTTTATTGAAACTTTTTGGTTGTGATATATATCCACACAAACAAAAAAAAAAACATATGCTCTTAAATGTCCAAACTCTGATATTTATTACTGAGCAGCAATATTCTGAACAACGCTAGGGGCTGAAAGTTTTGTCACGTTCGTCAATATAGTATTGCTCAGTAATAAATGCCAGTATTTACTCCTTGAAATAGCAAATATGTATATTTTAGTGTGGATATGTGAGTATATCCCCTCAAAAAATATTACACCTTAAATTCATGCACAAATAAAATTACCAAATTAGTAATAAAAGTACGAAGTTGATAATTGTAATTTGACTGTCTGCATAACATGACTTTTGATCACGATCAAAAATTGCTGTAACCGATCACACGTCATATGACTGTCTGTATTATACGATCCTTACACAAGAATGACAACAAGAAAATAATAATTTTTACGTTTAAATTTATTTAATTTAAAGTTTTTGATTTGTTTTTTTTTTTTTAGACAATTGATGAAGTTTATTTGGATCATTTGAACGCATCTAAAAGTGGTCGCCCACACTGCACTTTCATTGTGAAAACAAAAAAACGCAGCTATCATTTACAAGCAGCTTCAGATGCAGCTGCACGAATATGGATTGATGCCATTATAACCGGAGCTCAAGGAAACTTAGATTATTAGCTTTAAATTAAAATATTGATGTAAGTTATCTTGTAAGAATAGCTAATAATTTGGTAATTAATTTGTAAGTGTATCTAATTATATTTTTAATGAAATCACAGATTTCTATTAATACTGAACCAAAGCAAAATTATATAAAATTGTAAAATGAATGCATTACATATTTAAATTTAATCTTAACAATAGTTAAAGGCAGCTCATAGAAATCGATCATAATTTTAGATCATATATAACAATGTATTATAAATAAAATTGTATATTATCTTTAAGGTTATATATTGTGACGTAAACGGTTTTAATAAGGAGTTTTGAAAGTTTTTATAAGGAGTTCTTTTAAAAGGAGTTTCTTTTACTTAATTACGTATGCATATCTTTATTTACATATATATAAGTGTATGTATTGTATATCTTTCAATTTTTTTATATCATACTATTCTATATACATAGAATACAATATAGGTATTAGCATATTCACAAATTTAACATAACAATACATAACAAATTTAATATAAGTTTTGCTCAACTATTAACTATCAGTAAATAAGAAATGATATAAATTCGCTACATATTCCCCAAGACACTAAGAAAATGAAAACGATTGTTACTAGACGCATGTGCCTTTTTAATTTGGTTTGCAATGTGTTTTGAATATATAAGCGAACATTTATAAGTTTATTCTGAAATGGTTATTTTATAATTTCATAATTGAAATTTTTTATCCAAATGAATCATTTTAGAGTATCTTTTTTATTATATTCTTAAAAAAATTAAATTTAATTTACACTTACATATTAATTAATTATAATTTTACATTATGTATTATTAAAATAATTTTTTATTTTAAAAATAAATATATGTTTTTATAAAAAATTAATCTTGACTTGAATTTTTAACATGTAACTTTAAGATGAGTTATAATATTTATTTATGTAGGTTTCAAGCCATTCTTTGAAATCACGCAAATGTTCATCTACGGCACCAATAAAATTACACGATTTAAAATGTGGTGGTGGATGCTGACCAGTGCCATATGCATTAAATATAAAATGCTCACTTATATAAATTGCAGCCACTACATCATTGGATAGGACTTCGTGACGAAACGAAAGCTTAGCAAACGATTCTGAAAATTGTTTTATTGTAACAAATGATTGTTTCGTTAAGCACCCTGGAAACAAAAATTCCATATCTATACTTTAAATAAATTCAATAAATTATTTTATTATACCTGGACGTTCTATGCGTGAAGCCACAAAATATTCTTGCAGTAATCTTTCAGCTTCTTGTGTAAAGTCTACAGTACGTTTTGATATAATTGCTAGAAAGTGGCGCATATCCTCATTAGATATTGAGAGATCATCTATAGTTGACTCATAAGTATTTATTGACGATTGTTGAAGTATGTAATCAACCAAAACTTCATGGTTGTCTTCGTCAACATAAATTGGTAAACCAAATATTCTTAGAAAAAATTAAACTAATTTTATTTGCAATTTTAAAAAGAAAGTTATTATTTATACTTGATGAATTTGTTAAACATTTGTTGATCACGCGCGTTATTTTTAAAAGCACGCCAATGTGCCCATATTGAAGTTTCTAAAGGATATGCAACTGAAGATTTTTCTATGCTTACACGAGAACACTCAATAAACTTAAAAATTTTATCAGCACGAGCTGCTTTTATACAAGACCAATCACCGGCAAAATAAACTCCACCTTGTGCTAAAAGGATAGGATCAGCTTCAATCCATTTTTGATTACTTGGAAAAGCAGGAGATTTTAACTTATAGGTTGGTCCTAAAAATCGTGCGCCCAACTGGCCAATACTTGTCATAAGGTAATTGATTATAGAAGTGTCATTACCAATAGCAATAATAGGTATCGGAATACGATTGGGAATTGGCTAAAAAAATACATGCACATTTAGTATATTATATGCATACTTCATTGAATAGATGAAACCTTTTTAGTTTGAGTTTTATTTTAAAATTCTGCTTACCCCAATTGAGGCTAAACTGAGTAGCAATGCCATTTTCAAGTTAACAAAGCAATCCATTGGTATACGATCTTGACACAATTGTGCGCTTAGTGCATAGACAAAAGCAAAATCGGAATATTCCTTTTTGATAATTGTATGCAGTTGTATAATTGATTGTGGACTCAACGTCGCATCAACAGTCGAATTATTAGGCAACAGTATTGACGCAACACTTCCCAACTTCTGTACATTATTTACTTCAATACTGCTATTGAGGTCAATGGATAAATTATTGTCATGTTCAATAGGTGGTATATGTTGTATGGATGTGTGTTCATTTACAGATATATCCATACTCATTTGTTGTATTGTATTTTGTATTGAGTTCGAAGGTCCATGTATACTGGATATAGTACCATTTCTATAACCCAAAGATAATAAATCTAAAGGATTGTTGTGCTCAGTAATTCGATTAACATCAGCGGAATCAAAAGTAGTTTTTTTTGGAATTGGACAAGATGAAGTTATATTTTGCAGCTTTTTGCTAGTGTCTATTTGTGTTTTTGACTAAAAAAAACATATTATTATTGCACTATAACTAACATTATTTTTCGAAAAGTTTCAACAAAAAAAAACCTACCAATGTTGTTACATTTTTTGTTGTGTGTAATTTTTCAAGAGCGCTTAACTCCTCTAAATCTATGTCAAATGGTTCATTAGCAAATTTTTCGAATTCGTTTGTGAATGAATCATCAACTCGCTGATAATTTGTGCCAGCTACTGATGATAGATCCAAATCTTTTTTTGTTGCTTGCTTTGGAAAATGTAATTCATTGTTATAAACATTTTTGTTTGTCGTTTTAGATTGAATAGGCTGAACATATTTATCAATCGGTGGTGGTGGTGTATCAACTACAATTGTCTCTGATAAATTTTGAGTATCAATAAACAGTGAGCAAGAATCATCGTTTAGTTGTGACAATGGCAAATTAGTATTAACAATCCGTGGTGTGCGTTCCAGATAATCGCTATTGATGAAACTTTCCTCATTTCGCAAATTTAATTGTGATGAAAATTCTTCTCTATTGTTAACAAAAATATCCGAATTATCTATAGGACCATATAGAGAACGGTTGTTCCCTTTCATATATTTATCAGATTCCATGCTTGAAACTCCTGTCCACACTTATTATAGTCGTAATATCCGGTAACTAAATAGCGTCCTCCCAATTTTAATTTACAGTTATAATTATGTTCTTAAATAATAAAAGATTATGACAAAATTATAAGGTTTTATGTTTTATTGTTATTACCTTTCACACGAACAAGTACTGCACGAAAAACTTTATCAAGGATTATGGGCGTTTGAACAAAACCGGTAGGTACCAAACGCAACAGATGGTAGTTTTGAATAGAACGTAACTTGCTATACTCGCTCATAGAACGAGAGCAACTGTTGCACTGTGGCGCTGCAAAGGTAAACAAAAACTTAGCTTAACTTAAGACAATTCTATTTTATTTAACACTAACCTTCAGTGGAATTTTTTTTAATTTTATTTCTGAGACAACCTGTTGAACAAAACCAAACCGTTTGTATACTATTGAAAAGAAAACAAAAAATTATAATGAAAAACAATATGTAATATTGCATATTCTATAATTGAGAAAACTTACACACACTTCTCTGGTTCAGTTAAAGCAGTTAATATACCAAGAACTGAGCATAAATTGGTAGGATATAAATTTTTTGAAGGATCAAAACATAAGTGCTGTTGATATGGTAAACCTATAAATCGAAGCTGCACATGCACTTGCTCAATATCGATGGATTTAAGTCCAGTTTCGCTGCTTGTTTGCTTAACAAAGTCGCGTATAAGTGAATAAACACAGTATTTAACGGCGTTCATAAATTGTATTGGCTCATCAATTGTCAAATTCAACAGTTCCTTAGGACTATCGAGGAAATCTTTGTATGCAAATGGTAACTGCACTATCACGGCAGCCAGTGTGTCTTCTGGTCTTTTTGTTTGTTGATAATTTTTTGTATATTGACTAGCGGCTGCTTCAATAATTTTTAGTAATATACTTTTGCGCAGAAACGATTCTATTAATCTTTGGTTAATAAATCTGTAAAATTACATACATATATACATATGTATATTGTTATTTTTTTACATGCACAATTTAACTTAATAGATTAAATTATAAATAAAAGTTTCTTACAATTGCGATAGTGTTGTATTATTTATTTGAATATTTGATGTATTGCTTGATGGGGAAGGCGATGCGCTACTTAACATTATAAAAATAATATACAATTAGATGTAATGTCTCCAACTAAAAACATAAGTATCAAAATCAAATTTTATATTTAAAAACAACAATTTGTGGATTGCAAGATACAGAGTTGTAATTTATTTAGAAAGAGAAATTTTTAATATTTTAAGTACAGGGATGTTTTACACATTATTTTATTTATATATATTGTTTGATGCAAACACAGTACGATTATTTTTATTCTATATTTATAAAACAATTAATAATTATTTTTATAATAGAATATTCATAGAAAAATTAATTTATAAACGATCAATGTATGGGAAACATAAAACAGATATGTTGAATATATGAAAAACAGCAAAGAGATTTAGTTAAAAGATTTCCGCTGTCCATTATTATATAGTATTTTATACTACGGCCGTGAGCGAGTTCGAGTAAATTGAGGTAAAGTAAATTAAAATTTCATAGGAATTTTTTGCACTGCTCTTATGTAAATATTTATTTATTGGACTTATTTATGATTGTTTGGTTAAAAGTTCATAAATTTATTTATTTACGCATCTTATAAAATACTTTAAAAAAAACCCATAAAGCTTTGATATTCCACTATTACAGATGCTTACTACAAATCTACATAGAGATCTTGGTTCAACTGGTATAACAATTGTTGGGTTAGTTCAAGTTACTTCCAAATATTTCACCGTTGAAAAAGGATAACTAGATTGGCTTAATATGTATTCATATAACTTAAATTAATAATTAACGATATCGAGTGTTTAACAAACGGATAGTTTCTTCTAACTCAAATTGCTTATTTTCTTGGTACTACACATCATTTTTTTTACAACCTGCTCCCGCGACTTTTGTTATTGTTCGGCACAAACGGTCATCGATGGCATTTGGATGAATTATAAGAATGTTATGTTTAATTAGGAATTTGTTGATTGTGTAATGGGAAAATTAGATTTTGAAGTTTATTAAAGAAATATTTATCAAAAGAAATATTTTCTCAACATTTTTTTTATATCTTCTCCATTATTTCATTTATAATATGGCAATTATTTCTAATACCCCAAATAAAATTGAGAGATAATATAGGACACACATTTTTTATGCAGAGGTACACAAAGACTATCCGATAGTTATGAAATGGCCACAAATTAAAGAGATTTAGGAGAAGCCTTATGAAGCTATATGCTTTTTCCTAGTTTATTTCAAATTATATCTAGTTTATTTATATTATTAGAAGCATGACGTGTTTTATAAAAACCATTAAATGTAATTAAATTAAATTTAAAACATTTGATTCAAATAGAACTAATATTATATATTTATGTTATTGAATTCTTCAAACCATAAAATTTCCTATATAGAATTTTAATACTTAAAAAAGTTTACTTGTAATCATATATCTATATATTTGGATCCTTCGTGCTTGTTGTTAGTATAAAGTTAAAATTAGTTGTAATTAAAATTAGATTTAAATTTATTTTTGAAAAATTTTCATTTTTATTTTATAATTAGTGTAAAAAATACACAAAAAGAATGTGTAGCGCGAAATGTTTATCGGTTGGATTTAGCAACACGTTCCAATTCATCCTTCTTTTTAATAGCATAAGAGTTAGATGAACCCTGAAATAGAAAATAAATATCATATTTAATAAATAGTATAAATAACTTCATATACTTATATAAATATATTTATAATCTTTTCAAATTTAGTGAAATACTTATTATCAAAAGAATAAAAAAATAATTTAAGTGCAACAATATTACTTTATTACCGAAATGAAGTTAATCTCAAAGGATCATTACGCGAATTGAAAGTGAACAAAGTGGATATAATAATATAAGCAGTCGCTTGTCTTGCCGTATACCTCACTTTCTAACTTTGCTCACTTTCTTTTATAGAACATATTAAATAAATATATAAACTAATAATAATGTTTTATGTATTTTTGTTTTAGGAAGCTTGTAGAATATTATATAAATTCTACTGCTAGGATTTTGCAAAAAGAATTTTTCTAGTCCACAAGCGAAACGACGTAAGCTTTAATGCAACTTTACGCGAATTAGAGTGGACAGGCACTGGAGTTTCCTGGTATACATCTTATAAGATAGATATACGTATATATTAAAATTGCTTTCTATTATTATTTTTATTTGTTTTTGTATTTGGAGAAGCATAGGAATATAAAATTATTCAAATGCTAGGATTTTACAAAAAGAATTTTTCTAGTCCACAAGCGAAGCGACGTAAGCTTTAATGCAACTTTACGCGAATTAGAGTGGACAGGCACTAGAGTTTCCTGGTATACATCTTATAAGATAGATATACGTATATATTAAAATTGCTTTCTATTATTATTTTTATTTGTTTTTGTATTTGGTGAAGCATAGGAATATAAAATTGTTCAAATGCTAGGATTTTACAAAAAGAATTTTTCTAGTCCACAAGCGAAAATGAGCACTATTTAAATATATTTGCTCATTATTAATTATGGACATTTCTATTTACAATATATATAAATGCTTAAAATAAAAAAGTTTTATCTCTGCTGATATAACGTAAGAAGTAATTAAAGTTTAACTCAATGTATTTTGATTGAATATTGTAGTTTCACATACCAAAGCGTCAATAGTAATGTTTTAAGAAATATACTAATAACGCGGGATAGTAAAACTTACATTTAATGTTGTCCAAGTTTATTATTACAATCGTAAATATATGTCTTTTACATTGTATTGAGGCTGGACTGAATATATACTATACTGAATATATATTTAAGTTAAATTACTAATAAAGTATATAAATGTAGACTCACATACCAAACTGCTAAAAATTATAAGTTTAAATTATAGCAGGGGATAGTGAAACTATATTTATATTGTCCAATTAAAAATTTACTACTTTAAGTAACTAAAATTCTTAAACAGTATTGAGGTTGGACAAACTAAATATTTTGTTTTTACAAATATATTAAACGTCTGTAGTTTCACTCACCAAAGCGTTAATAAACTTGATTTGTTTAAATTAACGCGGGATAGTAAAACAATATTAATGTTGTCCATATTAAGATGTACAAACGTAAATCATGGTCAACATTACGCTGTATTGAGGATGGACTAAAGCATTATTGATTTAGTTTTTACAGCAAATTTAAATAAGTGCTTATAAATTGTAACTTATATCTAATTAAAAACTTTTGATGTTGTTTATTAAATGTAATAGCTTTGTTATATATATCAAGTGAGTTATGTCTACAAATTTTTTATACTAAAAAAAAACAGACTTGCATTAACACGCGGTAATGATTGTTGCGTATAATAAAATTTATATGGCTGTTTTATGTTAAATTTAAATCTCAATTAATATCTAAAAACTCACCTTAGCAGCATTGATCAATTCATCAGCTAAACATTCAGCAATAGTTTTAATGTTTCTGAAGGCAGCCTCACGTGCACCAGTGCATAACAACCAGATAGCCTAAAAATAATTCACAATTAGCGTTTAAAATTTATAGTCAGTAAAAATATTATACAATTTGTATTTGTATATTTTTATCAGTAAGACAAGAGTGCAATTATTTTACTCTTGTCCGCTTTAGATAAACAGACTTGGCTTTCATTTAGCCAAGTGTTATATCTTTCCAAATAGTTCCTATTTGAAAAGAATTGTATCCTGGCAAAAACTACAACGTTTAAATAAATATACAAACACTTACTTGATTGACACGACGAAGTGGAGACACATCAACAGCTTGACGACGTACGGTACCAGCGCGACCAATACGTGTAGAATCTTCACGTGGTCCAGAATTGATAATGGCGCTAACGAGAATCTAAAAATATTAACCATCATTAACAACTGTGTTCACTTTTTTTATTAAATAAATTTTTTTATAAAAAAAATATGTGCAAAACACTTGTTAATTTATAAAATAGTAATTATTTTGTATATATTTTAGACAAGTGTATGGATTTTATATGCGTCACATTCTACCTGTTTGTTGTTTGTATATAAATCGCAACAACAGTTTAGCATGAGACGTTTACACTTATATTTCCTTAATACTGAATTTGACATGGTTTACCTGCAATGGATTTTCACCAGTCAACAAATGAATAATTTCAAATGAGTGCTTGACAATACGGCAGGCCATCAATTTTTTACCATTGTTGCGACCTTTCATCATCAATGAGTTGGTCAAGCGTTCTACAATTGGGCATTGTGCTTTACGGAAGCACTTAGCAGCATAACGACCAGCAGAGTGTGGTAAGTAGCGAGCGAATTTTTCTTTGACAGAAATGTAATCTTGTAGGGAAATATCATTGACTGTCACATCATCACAGGACCAACGACCGAATAGCTTGATTTCAGGCAATTCAGTCGTTGTTGCCATATGTGTGTCCAAAATTGTGTCAACGCCCTCAGTTTCAATTGGAGGTTGCTCCTCGAAGGTTTCGCTAGTAGTTTCAGATACTTCAGCCATTCTGAAAGAATATTATATATTATTTATATTGTATTAATAATACTGATTGCAATTAAAATTATCAAAACATGTGTATAATGTGTTAACAATTTATAATTATTTTTCCGGCACGCAGTAATTACTAATAAACATTTGTAACGTTGTAGGTTTTAGCTTTATTAAGGACTTTATCTTTTAGACGATATCCTTAAGAGGAATAGCAAACCTTGAATATTATTGTTGTCCAGTTGAATACCAAACACGTTAAGTTTAATTATGTCTGGTTTTAGTATGGACGTATTAAGTTAAATTGTTTCATTTATATATTTATGCCTCCAATACATTTACTCTGCTATGTTGATTTATACAAAAATTACTTATCCGAATTGAGTTTATCTGTTGTAATGTAAGTTTTTATACACACTAATGCTTATACGTTTAGAGTAAATATTTTATTTTGTTTAAAAATTTGTGTGCTTTACTTTATTAAGGATTTTATCTTTCACACGATAACCTTAAGAGGATTAGCAAGCCACGAATTTTAATGTGGTCCAATTGAATACTAAACGTGCAATATTATAGCAAATTTAGTTTTAGTTTGGACGTAGAAAATCATATAATTTTTATAATTTAATGATTATTTTTTGCTTAAAATTAAATCCACGTGTGTTTTTCCAGCGATAATTATTTTTTTTGAGAGACAACCTCTAACCTCAATATACATTACATTTTTTTATTAAAATACACCACATATTTATACACAAATATTTAAAAAACATATCCAACAACATTGTATTACTATTTTTGCAACGAAAATAAAATTATTTGATATATTTCCTTACTTTTTTATGCGGGAAAACTATCACCGAACTAAACAGCAATGGCGTTCGCCAGAAAAAGAACATGTTGGAGTAGTGCTACCAAATTTCTGCTTTTAATTTCCGGCAAAATGACAGTAGCATAAAACTTTCTGCTGGCAGTGCTATTAATACTTTTTTTAAAACTTTCACAATAATCGGTCTGTTCGTTTACTTGGTAAGTAAAAATAATACAATAAATTGCGTGTAAAATCAGATAATTTCTTTTGTTTTCACCTATAAAGAATTTCATATTATGTAATTTTAGCTGTAGTTATAAATTATTGCCAAATTTTATTTTTTTTTATAATTTCTTGAATTTTAAATTAAGTTGATGTTTTAAAAAGCAAGCCAACTATCAAATGAGCTCTAATATTTTAAGGAATATCTCACTGAAGTCGAAATTCTGGATTAGTCAAATTCAGTTTGAAAAGAACTGATTTTTCTTCAAAGTTATAAATTACAAAGTTTTCAAAGTTGATATATCTAGAATAAAAATCTTATCCCATGATAATGATAAATATAAATTACTTAGAAACAGAACCTTCGTTTATGTTATTTTTATATTATATCCAAGAACAGAAATATGTTTTCTTATATTAATTTGGTTTAACACCTGTATTAATTTACAAATTTTGAGTGGTATTTGTAACACTATGTTCAGACACATCCTAATTTCTTCTTCGTTTCACCGGAATTAAGTTGTTTTTTCTGTACAAAAGTCAGTTTTGAGGTTAGAACGAAATTAAGGAAAATTTCGTTGAAACGAAGGCTGAAATTAAGGAACATTTCGAATGTAACTATGCGTGAGATAAATTTTAAGCAAAAGATAAAGTTAAGATAATGAAAAAGTGACATTTTTTTAAAATAAATTTGGTGACAGTTGTCTTTAATAAAAGCAGGAAAATATTTTGAAAGTAGTGCTTATAACTTTCTGTTATTTATTTAAAATAAGATGAAAAATAATTAAATAGTTATTCACATACCTGAAATCCACTCTAACTAATAAAACTCCTGAATGACATTCTGAATAGTTATAATAATACAAATGGTATTTTGAGCATGTAATTAACATTTGATTTGTAAACAAAAAGGTATGATTTCCTTAATTTGGGATAGTATGAACGAAATTAAGGAATTTTGGCTGTCTGCACATAGTATAATACAAATAACTGGGCAGATTTTAAGTAATTCAATTCTGCTTTCATATATTCATTTTTATGTATAAATAAATATGAATAATTAATTTCAATTACGATCTTATTTTCATACAAAAATGTATATAAACAATTTACAATAATATAGTATTTTAATTATTACAACAATTTATTAAAGAAGCCGGGAACAGCAGGTTTTGACATAACATGCTAGTTTGTTAAAATATTCAGTACTGGTAT